GGATATAAAAATGGATTGGTTTTCGTTTATGCAAATACATTCTAGATATGACAAAGATTCTAAGACAGAAGGTTTCTATAATAATTTGACTAATTTAGATAAAATTTTAATAGGTTCGGATGACTATATAATTAAAAAACTGTATGGTTACTTATTAGTTACTTAAAATTGGAAGAAGAACAAGTTAAGGAAACAATGATTGCATGGGAAGCTCCCATAACTTCTGAAGGCAACTTCTGTTCCATGGGTTGATTGTTCTCACTGTCAGAAAGTTCCTCCTCATTTCTAGGTTGAATCTTTCGTTGGTCAGTTTCCATCCATTATTCTTTGCCTGGCCTTCAGGTGCTTTGGAAAATAGCTTGACCCCCTCCTCTTTATGGCAGCCCCTCAAATATTGGAACATTGCTATCATGTCTCCCCTAGCCCTTCTCTTCACTAAACTAGCCAGGCCCAGTTCCTGCAGCTGTTCTTTGTATGTTTTAGTCTCCAGTCCCCTAACCATCCTGGTTGCTCATTTCTGCACTTTTTCTAGAGTCTCAACATCTTCTTTATAGTGTGGTGACCAAAACTGGATGCAGTACTCTAGGTGTGGTCTTACTAGGGCATGTCTTCTGGTTTTAAGAGCATTTTTTTGTCGTAATTCTGGTTTTGGGATATGCCCAGAAAGTGATTCTGGGTGAACTATTGCTCAGCACTTAAGTTATTTCCTGTTGGTGTCCTTATGTTGTTTTAACATTTACATAAAACCTCAGGATGAATCACTTGGAGCTCTGGAGTGAGATATTATCAGTGATTACATCTAGGTACACTGCTCTCCACCTTTAATTTCTTGAACATAGAATAATAGAGCTGGAAGAGACCTTGGATGTCTTCTAATCCAACCCAAACTCAAGCAGGAGACTTTACTACTTCCGACAAATAGCTGTCCAGTCTCTCTTTGAAAGCCTCTAGTGGTGGAGCACCCACAACTTCTGAAGGCAAGCTATTCCATTGGTTGATTACTTTCACCCTTAGGTGAATGATTAAATCATCATAGATCCCTACCACATTTCCCTAATTAGCTCCCAAGCTATGAGAGACTCTTGTTGACTTGGCTGAATCCTTTTCAGATCATTCTGAAGTGCAATGCTTGTGTTAACTCCTCTTTTCATCTCTTCCTTTTCTATTGTCCTTTTTTTCAGGTACATCATCCTCATGACTTTGCAGGACAGAAACGAGAAACTGTTTTACCGGGTGCTCACATCCGACATAGAAAGATTTATGCCAATAGTGTATACGCCGACTGTTGGATTGGCTTGCCAGTTGTATGGCCTGGCCTTCAGACGGCCTCGGTGAGTGGACAGAATTATTTCTCGCTTTCCTTCTGCTGCCTGCTTCTTGCTCCAAAGGTTCTCGTTGGTATTAAATGTTCCCCTTCTTAATTGCTCCCTAACTTTCCGTGGGTGGTCTGGTCTCCACAAGAAGGAAACAATTCTTTGTGCAATTGTCAAATAACTTGGTGTGCATCTGTATTCCCGTAATGGCAAATGGGAAAAGCCTTGTAAGATGAATAAAAACTGTTTTGTGTGAGAACAATACAGTACAGTAGAGCTCGCTCTGCCTGAGGTCAATAGCAAAATGTTACCCTGAATTCTCATTTAAACTTCCTCCATTAAATCTATAACTTTTAAATTTCTAATAATCTTGCATGGTAACCGCTAGTAGGAACTGTGGTTACCCTTCCTTCCTTCCTTCCTTCCTTCCTTCCTGCCTGCCTGCCTGCCTGCCTGCCTGCCTGCCTGCCTAGGGTTTCCTGCCTAAGCAGTGGGTTGGACTAGAAGACCTCCAAGGTCCCTTCCAACTCTGTTATTATATATTATCCTTTCCTTCCTTCCTTCCTTCCTTCCTTCCTTCCTTCCTTCCTTCCTTCCTTTCCTTCCTTCCTTTTTTCTTTCTTTCCTTCCTTCCTTCCTGCCTAGGGTTTCCTGCCTAAGCAGGGGGTTGGACTAGAAGACCTCCAAGGTTCCTTCCAACTCTGTTATTATATATATTATATATAAGGTCCCTTCCAACTGTGTTATTATATATTAACCTTTCTTTCCTTCCTTCCTTCCTTCCTTCCTTCCTTCCTTCCTTCCTTCCTGTTTAACACTCAACACTGTCAAACTATTTACTAAGGCTGCATTACTATTACTATTAATCTTCTCATCGTTCCTATCACCCATCTCCTCCCACTTATGACTGTAATTTGCTGTATCCTTACAATTTATATTGTTTCCTAGTATATTCCATTGCTTATTTGTACCCTATGACCATCATTAAGTGTTGTACCATATGATTCTTGACGAATGTATGTTTTCTTTTTATGTACACTGCACCGAAGACAAATTCCTTACATGTCCAATCACACTTGGCCAATAAAGAATTCTGTCTCTCTCTCTCTCTCTCTCTCTGTATCAGTGGTGGGTTGCTCCCAGTTCACACCAGTTCGCAAGAACCAGTAGTAAAAATTTTTAGTAGTTTGGAGAAATGGTAATAACATTGGCTGGCCATGCCCCCGAACCGGTCCCCGGCCCAGTCGCCACTCGCTTACCCCACCCACCTCATCAGAGGCTTTTTTAAAAAAAACTTTTAAAAGCATTTTTTCTACAACCTCTTCGGCTGAAAAAATGCTTTTAAAAGTTAAAAAAAGAAGCCTCTGATGATCGCGCGGCTCAGCTGGAATCTCAGAGGCTTTTATTTATTTATTTATTTATTTATTTTATTAAATTTCTATACCGCCCTTCTCCTGAAGGACTCAGGGCGGTGAACAGCCAGAAGATAAAACACAGAGATACAAAAATTTAAAATAGATTAAAAACGAATTAAATAATTTGGCTGAATTTAAAATATCCCATAATTTAAACAGATTAAAATTTGTATTTAAAATTTATATTTAAAAGGGGAGAAGATTTAGGCCAACCTCTTCAGCCAAAGAGGTTGTAGGAAAAAAAATGCCTTTAAAAGCCTCTGGCGATCCCAGCTGACTTGCCTGATCGTCAGAGGCTTCTAAAAGCATTTTTTTCTGCAACCTCGTAAGGTTGTAGAAAAAATGCTTTTAAAAGTTAAAAAAAAAAAAGTTGGCCACGCCCACCCAGTCACATTAACCCCCCACAAGCCACGCCCACAAAATAAGCCACGCCCACAAAACCAGTAGTAAAAAAATTTAGAACCCACCTCTTCCCTTTATCTATCATTCTATCTACCTATCTAATCCCAATTTGCTATTTCCATACATTATAGGTGGCCTTCCCATTGATTGGATGCAGCCAGGAATAAATCGGCACAAAATCTTCCTGGTGCTGATGAAATCCAACTGCTTTTCTTCCCAGTGCTAGAGAAACCAGTTTGTGTATTCCACCTGTCCTTCCACAGACAGTGGGTTTTTTTTCCCCGACCATCCAATGGAAATCTGGCCCTGGTTTGATCCCAGACCGCAAATGAGAAGGTTTCAAATTGCTGTTTGATTTTTTTAATTCACAACGGAGACCAAACCTTTGTAAATCCTCTGTAAATAGTTACAGACAAGTTCCAACTCCCTTTGAAGCTGGATTCCACTGCATATTTTTTCAATTATCTCTTTCTTTCTTTCTCTCTCTCTCTCTTAATCTCCACCCCTCGGAAAGTTTATTTTTTAACCATTATTAAAAGTGATGAATATCACATGGGGAAATAACATTCTTTTTTGCAAAGTGTATTTCTTTTTCTCTTTGGAAAAAGATCTTGTCCGGTCAGACTGGGTAGGCAAGCAATCACCTCTTCTTAACCCTTGTTTACCATAGTTCATAAATCAGATGTTTTGGGTGTATCCTTCCTTTGGGCTTTTCTGGTTCCTTGAAAAAAAAAAAAAGCTTCATATGCTCCTGGACCAAGAAATAGAGAATGGCACACATGCTCCTAAAACAGTTTGTTTTATCTTCAGGGGGGGAAAAAAAACCCTGTTCAGTAACAACTTGGAAACAAGAGACTATTTGTAGCCCAGAGTTGAACTGCTGAGTACTTAGTGCGCTCTGAGCTTGATCGTTTTCTTGCAGACATTTCTTTACCAAACTTGGTAACGTCATCAGTGCCAACAGTCATTCGTTTAGTAGCACTGATGATGTTACCTAGTTTGGTAAAGAACAGAATAATAGGAAATGGGATGGGATGGGATGAGATGGGATGGGATGGGATGGGATGGGATGGGATGGGATAGAATAGAATAGAATAGAATAGAATAGAATAGAATAGAATAGAATAGAATAGAATAGAATAGAATAGAATAGAATAGAATAGAATAGAATAGAATAGAATAGAATATCAAGTTCTTGAAGGTTAAAAGAGACATACAATGCAATTTCCCAAATAAACCATATAGAATTCAAGCATGCTCCTGAAATATGTCTCAGGTAAGTACAGAATAACAGAGTTGGAATGGAACGGAACGGAACGGAACGGAACAGAACAGAACAGAACAGAAATAGAAACAGGAATAGAACAGAACAGAGCAGAGCAGAGCAGAACAGAACAGAACAGAACAGAACAGAACAGAACAGAGTAGAGTAGAGTAGAGTAGAGTAGAGTAGAGTAGAGTAGAGTAGAGTAGAGTAGAGTAGAGTAGCGTAGAGTAGAATAACAGAGGGAAGGGACCTTGGATTTCTTCTAGTCCAACCCCCTGCTTAGGCAGGAAACCCAATAGCATTTCAGACAAATGGTTATCCAATCTCTTCTTAAGAACTTCCAGTGTCGGAGCATTTACAACTTCTGGAGCCATCTTGGTACCTTTCTTGACAGCTGTTATCAAAAGAAGATGCCATTACCTTATTTTATAATATATTTTAACTTCCCAGCCTATCCTAACCTTAGTATTTCCTAATAGTTGCCTTCCAAATATCAAACGGGCCAGCCGTGTTTAGCTTTGGAGCTCAGAAAACATGAGTTACCTACTAAGCATAAACTGAAAAGCACTTTGAGAAAGAAAGAAAGAAACAACTAGGTTATTGTGTTGTTTAAAACCTCTGCGACAACCAAGTCTTTGCTCTAAACAAATCTATTCAACCATTGACTGGTGAATGATTCTTCCACCTCGGATAAATTCCTTGCAACCTCAAATGAAGTTTGATTGTCCAGGCTCTTTTGTAAGATGATGTGTTTGTTAGTTTACATTTTTTCCCCAAAGAAACTAATTTTGAATGTTTGATTTCTAAATTTCAAAGCCTAACACAGTTGCCACAGCAATAACAGAAATAGGATCTGCAAACACAGCAGATGGTTGGGAGGTTCCTTAAAAAAGGATCTCAGGAGGCCTATGCATCATATGCTGGAGTTATTTCTGGAAATAAAACGTTATATTCATTAAATTAAATTTTATTGAATGCATTCATTCAATCAAATCCTGACTCATAGAATGCAGAGTGACCTGGCATTCCCCAGATGTGTTGGAAGTGAAAACCCGGGATGGGTAAGATAAGCCCACATGAACCATGTTGCGCCTGATATCATCATGGCTAGTATCTTCTGTTGTTTGTGATTGAAATATCACAACTTTTCCATCCAGTGATCCCAACACATCTAAAAAACACCAGGGGAAAATCTAGTCTAAAGAAAAGAAGGACTAGGGGAGACATGATAGCAGTCATCCAATATCTCAGGGGCTGCCAGAAAGAAGAAGGGGTCAACTTATTCTCCAAAGTACCAGAAGGCAGGAGAAGAAACATTGGATGGAAACTAATCAAGGAGAGAAGCAACCTGGAATTAAGGAGAAACTTCCTAACGAAACAATTAACCAGTCGAATAGCTTGCCTTTAGATTAGCTGTGGGTTCTCCATCACTGGAAGTTCTTAAGAAGAGACTGGGCAACCACTTGTCTGAAATGGTATATGGCAGTGATGGCTAACCTTTTTGCCGCCATGTGCCAAAAATGTTGGGGGAGGTCGTGCATGTGCGTGCCCACATTCATAATTCAATACGCCCCAGGCCATTTCCAGGCTCTGGAGGGCCTCTGGGGTGGAGGGAGCCGTTTTCACCCTCCCCAGGCTCCTAGAAAGCCTCTGGAGCCTGGGGAGAGTGAAAAACGGGCCTTCTGGTCCCACTGGAAGTTGGCAAACGGGCCGTTTCTGGCCTCTGGGGGAGGGTGGGGAAGGCCGTTTTTGCCCTCCCTAGGCTCTTAGAAAGCCTCTGGAGCCTGGGGAGGGCGAAAACCTCCCTCACCCCCACCACTACCCCGGAGGCTGGAAACAGCCTGTTTCCTGACTTCCGGTGGGCCTGGAAGGCCCGAAAATCAGTTGGCCAGCACGTGCATGCATGCTGCAGCTGAGCTAGGGCAATGCTCGCGTGCCCACCGATATGGCTCCGTGTGCCACAGGTGGCACGCGTGCCATAGGTTCACCATCACGGGTATAGGGTCTTCTGCTTGAGCAGGGAGTTGAACTAGATGACCTCCAAGGTCCCAGCTCTGTTATTTGTTATGAATGAGAGTAGAATATCTCTTCTAAGATGATACCTGATGGTTTTGTTCAATGACATTACAAGGTCAATTGTTCAGCAGTGCCTGGCCATTTTAAGTGAATCTGTGAACTGGGTATTGTAATACTTGTTGGCCATCCCACCTGGAACCGCACATTTAGCATTGCTACAAAAGAGAGCTTTGTGCAGGCAGTCCTTGACTTACAACAGTTCATTTAGTGACTGTTCAAAGTCATAACGGCACTGACAAAAATGACATGGAGCTGAGGTTTTTTCACGCTTATGACCGTTGCAGCATCTCCACCATGGCCCCATGATCAAAAATTCAGACACTTGGCAACTGATTCATATTTATGATGGTTGTCCCCGGGGGGGTGTCATGCGATCCACTTTTTCAACCTTCTGGCAAGCAAAATCAATGGGGAAGCCGGATTCACTTAAGAACCAGGTTACTCACTTAACGGCTGCAGCGATTCACTTAACAACTTTGACAAGAAAGGTCATAAAGTGGGACAAAAGTCACTCTTGGGGGCTCAATCGTGATCGTAAGTCGAGGACTTTAAAGGCGAGCTCTGGTTACTCATGCTTCTCATTTGCCTGGATTGCTTCTGCACCAGGGGTAGGCTGCTGGGGGTTCGCAGGGGTTCGGGAGAACCTCTAGCTAAGAGTCTATGCAGTTCAGAGAACCCCCAAATCTCACTCCTGACTGGCCCCGCCCACCCTGCCCCTCCCCTCCAAGGAGTCTCCACGTGGCCCGTTTTGGATGCAGGTAAATTCAGGGCATGCACTGAGGCTTGGGGAGGGCGAAAAATGGGCCTACCGGAAGTTTGGGTAGGCCAGAAATGGAGGGCCGTTTTCACCCTCCCGGAGGCTCAAGAGAAGCCTCCGGAGCCCAGGGAGGGCAAAAACGCCAATGCCGCCGCCATGGTACAGGAGGCTGACTAGGCCACAACCACCATGGCCACGCCCACCCAGCAACCAGGCAGAGAACCCCTTGCTAAAATTTTTGAAGCCCACCCCTGTTCACACACTAATTCACAAGTGTGTTAAAATCCTATGCTTCCTATTTTGCCTGGGATGCTCCTTTGAAGAAATTTAAACAAGCTTTCAGAAATCTGCTGAGGCGCCCCATTTTTTTTGCACGCCAAACTATTTTTTCCATGCCGTTCCACTCGGTGCCCAGCCTTTTCTTGCAAGTCCTACTTCTCTGTCCTGCTCAGATTAGTTTTCCTCTTTTTTTGTAATTTATCCTTTTTTCTCTCTCTCTTTCCCCAGTGGCCTATTCATTACCATTCATGACAAAGGACACATTTCCACAATGCTGAATTCCTGGCCTGAAGACAACATAAAGGTAATGGGGCTGATTGATTCATTTTTAATGGGGAGGGGAAAAAAAAAAACCCACTTCTATTTTTCGTGGAATCAGAAACCTATTACAAATGAGCTACCTTTTTAAAGCCGGACTGCTGTAGCTGCAGGAAGCTTATTAGGACTAATTAAAGATTGCCCTTGATCTTAGGTTCAAGGCTCAGGTCTTGGATGAGGTCTCTTTTCACGCTCGTCAGCACGAGAGGACAAATTAGTTTGAGAAGACGAGGCAATGTGACACCACTTGCTTGGGTGAGGGTGCCTGCCTATCTACAGCTAGGGTTTTTTTTAAAAAAAGTTTTTTTTATTTTTTAAACAAACAAACATTTAATACATCAGTCACTCCTTCCATGTGACATCTCGGTGTTGTCTCCAATTGTTCCTCTTTTTGATATTTCTTCTGTCTTAGTTCTCAAAATATTCTGATTATAGCATTTTTATACATAACTATTAATTTACTTATTTGTATCTCTTTTCTAACCAATAGTAGAATTGATTCCATATCTTAAAGTATTCTGAATCTTCTCTTTCTTTAATCATCAAAGTCAATCCCTTCATTTCTGCACAATCTAATTTTTTTTTAATTACTTCTCCTTTCAAAGGTATTTTCTCTGCTTTCCAATGTTGTGCATAAACAATACTTGTGTCAGCACGTCAAGATGCATTTATCCTAGTGCTGACATAAGAAGGAGAACGCAGGCGTCTGCAACAGGACGGTTGCCTTTCACCTACTTATTTCCTCTGGAGATAATGTCCCCTAGGAGATGGATGGGAGGGGGAATTCTTTGAATTGGAGCAGTAGATTAGGGGTGAATGATTGGGAAGATGGCCAATGAATGCAGAGGAGTGGAGGAAGGAAGAGGAGGGGTTTGGGGGCAGCATGTCAGTGCCGGCTGCAACGAGTCGATGTAAAAAGTGCTGTGCTTAATAAAATGAAAGTTTGTTTTATAAAAGACTTTGTTTGCGATGCAGTTTATTTGAAGACAGCCTGAAAACCTGACAACTTGCAGCTGTTATTACATGTATAAACAAATAAATATTTTCTTTGCTAATTTTTTCTGGCATGCTACCCAATAGGAACAGTTCTGGTTTTAAATCAATACATTGTTGTATCATTTCTTCCAGCCATATCTTAATTTTATTCCAATAATTTTTAGCTTCTGGACATGTCCACCACATATAATAATAAGAACCTGGTAACTGTGTGAGAGTGCCTGCCTACCTACAGTAGGTTCAGGTTGGATCAGTTACTCTCAGTCCCACCCACCTCATGGGGTTGTTGTGGGGAAAATAGGATGCAGAACAGTGGTGGGTTGCTCCCGGTTCGGCCCGGTTCGGCCAAGCCGGTAGCGGTGATGCTATTACGTCACCGAACTGGTTCTCTTTCTTTGGGAGCTGGGCCCTCCCGCCCACCCGTTATTCCGACCTTATATTTCTTCTTTTTTCACCCAGCTGAGAGGTGCGGCAGAGCGGATTGCCACACCTCAGCTGGGCAGATTCGCAATGCGCTTGCGCAAGAGGCGATCGCGCGTACACAAAGAGAACCGGTAGTAAAGCCGGTTAGAACCCACCCCTGACGCAGAAGTACGTTTGTTTGCCACCTTGACCCAAAGGTGCTTTTTCAGGAGGCAACTGGACTTCCTTGTTTTTTTTTCTTTTGAAGACGTCTCGCTTCTCATCCAAGAAGCGTCTTCAGCTCTGACAGGACAGTGGGGAATAGAAGGATTTATATTCCTTGCAAACAACTGGTCATTTGCATCCTTTTGGAAGGTCGTTGAGGCCACTTGGAGGTTTACCTGTGTCCTCAGGGTCACCTGAGTAGTGCAAATGGTTCCTGTAGTCTGCAATTTTTTACCTCTGGAAATCCATTCCTACTCCCACACCATTCAAAAGGTGATCATCCCAAATTGTATAGCTAAAAGTGCGTAGAGATTCTCAGTCATCCAGGTCATGGTTGCCCCAAAGACAACTTTGGAACAACCATGACTTGGATGACTGAGAATCTCTACAGACTTTTAGCCACCTTGAGGTATTTATAAAAATAATAAAGGCAGGATTAAAATAAATTTAAGATATAATGAAGATTCCACTTCTGAGCATGTGTAATTGTGGCTACATTTAAAAAAAAAAAAAACAATAACTGAATCTCTCTTGTCTACATTTAGTGATATAGAATCGTGGTTTCCAGGCAAAGTTGCTTTCCTCCAACACCCCCCCCCCCTTTTTTTTTTTTTTTTTTTTTTTTTTTTTTTTTGCATTAGAAGTTCAGCATTTCCATAGTAACATCTCTCCATTGTGCTCCGAAGGAGACGGAACTCATCCACATGCCCCTCAGAAAGATTGGCAGCCTTCACATGCTGAATTAATTTGAAAGAAACCAGTTCTAGCCTTTGTAAATGAGAAGTTTGCACAATTAAACAAGAACTTTTCAGAATCTAAGCCAATCAAGCTAAAACCAGTTATGTGGTTAAGTTGGGGTTTGTTTCTTTTCAAACAACAGGGCAGGATTGGGCATATAGTTTGATTTTATCAGGATTTAAGATCAAAGAGTGACGCATCGCTTTTTGATCCCATGGCTGCCCCGTTCCTGACCACAAATGGAAGACTGAAATTCTGTTCAAAACCCACACCAAAGCAAACTGGGTTAGAATTCAGACATCTTAACCTTCCTTGCAAAAATACAGGTGGATATCTAAAATTCAGAAATGGAACATGTGAAGCTGTTGCCCTTATTTATTTATTTAGCGTATGGCATATCATAGATGGACTAGCAATATATATTAATATTTTACCTAGATTAGTAAAACATAATAAAATATAAATTTTAAAAAGATCTATTAAAAAACTGGGACGCGGTGGCTCAGTGGCTAAGACATTGAGCTTGTCGATTGAAAGGTCAGCAGTTCAGCGGTTCGAATCCCTAGTGCCCCGTAACGGGGTGAGCTCCCGTTAGTTGTCCCAGCTTCTGCCAACCTAGCAGTTTGAAAGCACGTAAAAAATGCAAGTAGAAAAATAGGGACCACCTTTGGTGGAAAGGTAACAGCGTTCCATGCGCCTTTGGCGTTTAGTCATGCCAGCCACAGGACCAAAGAGACGTCTTCGGACGGCACTGGCTCTTCGGCTTTGAATGGAGATGAGCACCACCCCCTAGAGTCAGGAATGACTAGCACATATGTGCGAGGGGAACCTTTACCTTTCCTTTTATGTTCAAATACCAACGTCTAGGTCAGGGGTGGGGAACAATGGCCCGTTTATGACTTGTAGACTTCAACTCCCAGAATTCCTAAACCAGTTCAGGAATTCTGGGAGTTGAAATGCATAAGTCATAAAAGAGCCATCGTTTCCCACCTCTGGTCCAGACCATCTAACCATTGAAGCACAGCATCATTTATATTTTTAAAAATCAGATACTGGATCAGTATATGCCCTCAGCTTACAACCGGTTGTGATCAGAGGTGGGATTCACATAATTTACCTACTGGTTCGGCCAGCACCGAAAATGTGAGGTCGCACGTATGTCCACCTCCATGCATACGCCCGAATTCCGTGCATGCGCTTTGCTCGAGCATATGCCTTTCGTGCATGCGGCCGGCCCCCAAAAAGTGCCTAAATAGGATGACATAGAGCCAGAGTGGGTGGGCAGGCCCACCCACGATTTCTGCTACCGGTTCGCTCAAACCGGTCCGAACCAGCTGAATACCACCTCTAGTCATGATATGATCTACAATTTGACATGGGGCACCACGTCAAATTGTGAAGGGAGGCTACTGTGCCCCATTTATACAGAGTCCCGGAAGACACCATGTGAGGTACAAGTCATAGCTGTTGCCTTAAGTTAGTGTTTCTCAACCTCGGCTGCTTGAAGATGTGCGGATTTCAACTCCCAGAATTCCCCAGCCAATTCTGGGAGTTGGTCCTCATATCTTCAAGTGGCTGAGGTTGAGAAACACTGCCTTAAGTCAACACTGTCAATGGAGCCAGTTGAGTGTTGGCTACTGGCTGGTTGTGCCTTTTTACAGCTCTGAATCTTTTCCACTTCTCTTCAAGAGGCCAATTTCCTGGGCTTAATTGTATGCGCAAAACAGACTTGTCTATCGTCCGTGATTCTTCCTTAAAAATGATTTTGACACATCCGTGGGTTTGATGACTCAAAGGATGGCTGTCATAATCCATTCATTCCAAAAGGAAATAGATATGGTGTTGCTTAACCTGAAAATTTCTCCCTTCCTCCACACATATAGACCCACATTTATAGTGTAATTATAACCAAGATACTTTTTAGCGTCCATACACCTGGTCTTCTTCAAGTTGAACTTGACTCATGAGTTTATGGGTGTATTACACGGTTTTCTTGCAACAGTACAGAAGTGATTTACCAATACAGGGTCTCCTCGACTTACGACCACAACTGAGTCCAAATTTCTGTTGCTAAGTGAGACAGTTGTGAGTTTTGCCTCATTTCATAAGTTAGTAACACGGTTGTTAAGTGAATCTGGCTTCCCATTGACTTTGCTCGTCAGAAGGTCACAAAAATTAATCGCATGACCCTAGGACACTGCAACCATCATAAGTATGAACTGGTTGCCAAGCACCCAATTTTGATCATGTGACCATTGGGATGCTGCAACGTCAGAATTTTGGATGCCCCATCACTGGAGGCTTTTAGAAAGAGAGTGGATAGCCATTTGTCTGAAATGGTATAGAGCAGGGGTGTCAAACTTATTTTATTTTTATTATTATTTTATTAGTCATATTTCTATGCCACTCATTCTCTGAGGACTCTGGATGGCTTACACCAAATAGCAAATTGCCCCCAACAATCTGGGTCCTCATTTTACCCACCTCGGAAGGATGGAAGGCTGAGTCAACCTTGAGTCGGTGAGATTTGATCCGCTGATCTGCTGAATAGCAGTCAGCTGAAGTAGCTACAGTACTGCACTCTAACCACTGCGCCACCTCGGCTCCAATGAAACTTGACTTCATTGATAGCCACATCAGGGTTGTGTTTAACCTTGACATGGCCAGGGGTGGGCGTGGCCATGATGGGCATGGCCAGCTCGATGTCACTCATGTCGGGGGCACCTGTGGTGGCCAAGTGCTAAGGCAGGACTTCCTTCAAACCCTCCTTCACTCTCATAATCTTCCTTCCTTCCTTCCTTCCTTCCTTCCTTCCTTCCTTCCTTCCTTCCTCCCTCCCTCCCTCCCTCCCTCCCTCCCTTCCTTTTCTTCTTTTTCCTTCTCTCTTCCTTCTTCCTTCCCCTCTTTCCTTTTTTTTCCTTCCTTGCTCTCTTCCCATCTTCCCTTTTTTTTCTTTCCTCTTCTTTCTTTCCTTTTCTCCTTTCCTGTCCCTTCTGGCATGCTCAAATGCAAAAGGGGAAACGTTTCTCCTTTTGTTTTGTTTTGAATTTGTTTTGCTAGCCCTCTGCCAGTGAAAATGGAGCGGCCTCCATTTTCACTGGTAGAGGGCTGCAGGAGGCCATCGCAGCTGAAAACGGTGCAGCCCTCCCGAGCTCCATTTTCACTGGCAGAGGTACCACGGGCTGGTCCTTTGCTGTTTCCAGGCCTGCCCCACGGGCCAGATCTAAGCACCCTTGATCTGGCCTGGAGTTTAACACCCTTAGTACAGAGTCTCCTGCTCAAGGACGGTGTTGGACTAGAAGACCTCCAAGGTCCCTTCCAACTCTATTATTCTGTTATTCTGAAAGGTTAAAGGTTACTAGAGAGCAAGACTGAGACAACTACTCTGAGGATGAAAATACTAGAGGATATTTGACATTGCTGGGATAGTGATTGATTGCCCACATCTTAAAACAAAGAAATGCACATCAGTTGCAAGGTTTTCACTGCATCTGTAGCATGTTTAATAAGGTCAGTGAGACTCAGACTCCCCTAAGCTAGCAAATCCAAAATATTCAGACCACAAAGATATATTCAGGTCAGTGTTGTTTTTTTCTATGTAAAGGGAAGGACTTTTTTTCTGCCCACAGCCCAGGCCACAAACAATTATCTGTAGATACATTCTTGTGGAATTGATTTCTTCAGTTGAAAACAACGGAGTGATCTAAAGAAATGGAAAAGTTTGATTCCCATTTCTGGCTTTCATTGTTTTCTATCAAACAGCGATGCCCGTTTGTTTTCAGCAGAAAAAAGAAACCGCAAGCCATATGGCACATGTTTAAAACCCTCCTGGGATTTCTGCCTTTAATCATCTGTAATATGTTAATATTTTAAAGGAAATTCCTTGTCATCTAGAGGGGGGAAAAATCCCAACAAAGTCTATTTCTAAGTAAACCAGCATCTCTCCTTATCTTCCAACCAGTCCCTAAAATAGGTAGATCTTTTGGCTTGGTGGGCATGGCATGGCTTGGTGGGGCATGGGTGGGTCTCCATTCCCTCCCCACTCCAGGGGAAGGTTACTGCAAAATCCCCATTTCCTCCTGATCAGCTGGACTCGGGAGGCAGAGAATAGATGGGGGCGAGGCCAGTCAGAGGTGGTATTTACCGGTTCTCCTAACTACTCAAAATTTCCGCTACCGGTTCTCCAGAACTGGTCAGAACCTGCTGAAACCCACCTCTGGAGTGAAGCTATTCTCCAAAGCACCTAAGGGTAGGACAAGAAGCAATGGGTGGAAACTAATCGAGGCGAGAACCATCTTAGAACTAAAAAGAAATTTCCTGACAGAACAATTAATCAATGGAACAAGAAGTTGTGAATGCTCCAACACTGGAAGTTTTTAAGAAGATGTTGGATAACCATTTGTCTGAAGTGGTGTAGGGTTTCCTGCCTAAGCAGGGGGTTGGACTAGAAGACCTCCAAGGTCCCTTCCAACTCTGTTATTATATTATAAATCCAATGTTTCAGAACATGGCCTTATCAGAGAAAAGCTCCATTGGTTGTGAAACAATTCAGTTGTCTTTCCAAGCCGCCTGGTTTAACACTCCTGCTTAACAAAAGCAACACTTCATTGAATGCTTCTTTCTTCAGCAGATTCCTCTCTTCACTTTCAGGCTGTTGTGGTGACCGACGGAGAAAGAATTTTAGGCTTGGGCGATCTAGGAAGCTACGGGATGGGCATCCCAGTAGGAAAACTCGCACTCTACACCGCTTGTGGTGGCGTTCACCCGCAGCATTGCCTCCCCGTTCTTCTGGATGTTGGCACAGACAACGAGGTGAGGTGGCTCGCTTATTTTCTTTTAGATCTCTTCTACGACCTTAAAGGTATGGATCAGAGTTGCTTGAATATACCTGTCTATGGAGATTCTCAATCATCCAGGTTATAGTGGTCCCAAAGGTGCTTTTTCAAAGGCAACTGGATTTTGTTGGAAGAAAATATCCATCTGGTTCAATTCCAAGCCGGGAGAAAGACAGTGGAAACATGGAGGCTGATTGGAAAGATGGTTTGATGGTGAAGCAGAACCACCAAGCACATGGTTCTGGGCAGCTGACTGTTACAGTGGTTATGTCTGCTGTGTAGGCAGCTTTATGCTGAGAGGCATTTCCTGCCTCCCTAGGAGTTGCCTTCAGCTGCTCCTGTGAGGTATTTCCAGTTCCTGTCATATGTGTATGTATGTGTGTATATATGTGTGTGTGTGTGTGTGTGTGTGTGTGTACAGTTAATATTTCGGGTTTCTTCCCGTGTAATTGTAAACATATCCTTAAAAGGGTAGTAGCGACGTTTCGACGAAATCGCATTCGTCATCTTCTGGCTGAAATTCTCGGTTTGGTGCTTATGGGCAAACTGTGTGATCGTAACTGACGTTTTTCTATGAAAAGAGGCAAAGGTGTATTCTGATTGGTTGACAGTGTTGTTGTATTCTGATTGGCTGATGACGTAGCTGTATTTTGATTGGGTGGAAGCGCCGTTGCTTGGTTGTGGGTTAATGGATAAGTTATGCTGGAAATGGTGGCAACACAGCCATTTTGATGAATCTTTGATCTATGGTTTATATTTTGTGTTAAGATTCGTCTGTCTATGAGAGCAGGTTTCCAAATAGTAGGCAGATGGGAAGTGTCATCACGTTTATTCATACAATATGGTATGAATTTCATACAATATTGAAATAGAGAAAAGACCATAACGAATCTTAACACACCCAATTAAACGTCAGTTACGATCACACAGTTTGCCCATAAGAACCAAACCGAGAACTTCAGCCTGAAGATGACGAATGTGATTTCGTCAAAACGTCGCTACTACCCTTTTTAAGGATATATTTACAATTACACGGGAAGAAACCCGAGATATTAACTGTACACACACACATATATATATATACTCCTAATGATGGCTTATCACTGTTAACTGCATTTTGATTAAACTTCTTGAAACACTGACCACCTGGAGTTGAGAGAGTGGGGTGGCTTTTATACCTTCTCTTGGATTTTGAACTTGAGCTTCCTGTTCCTGTGCAAGAACATGTGTTCTATTGGCTATTGTTAGAATCCCATGGGGCCATGTGGGGTCATGTTTGTTTGAGTCAAGTTTGGTTGAAGTTTGCTGGGCGATGCAATGAAGGGGTTTGTTGGGCAATTCCTATTGCGGCTGAAGGCTAACCCTACCTTTGTTCACAGCCAGACTTTGCTGCAGGCAGTAATGGATTACCAAATCTGCATTTCTAAAGTTGCCCCAGCTCAGTATCTGCTTGGGGGTGGGGGGTGGGCAGGGAGCTGGGGCTCTGAGTTTCTGTCTCCCTTAAGATTTTTATTTCTCTTTTAGGGGAAATATTTTATCCTGCCTTTTTTAAATATTTCTGAAAAGATTTCATTCTTCTAGGAGGGGGGTACCTTCCCACAATTTATAATACCCTCACTGTATTTCAGACATCAATACATTAAAGAGGGTCCAGAGATATTTTACTAGATGAGTACTCAAATCTTCTGCTCGAAATAAAATTCCCTATCCCACCAGGCTTGAAATTTTAGGTCTGGATAGCCTCGAACTACGCCGTCTATGTTCCAACCTAAGCTTAATTCATAAGATTATTTACCAAAATTTCCTACCGGTAAATGAATACTTTAATTTCAACCGTTATAACACAAGGGCTATCAATAGATTCAAACTCAATGTAAATCGCTCTAATCTTGATTGAAGGAAATATGACTTCTGCAATAGAATTGTAAATGTCTGGAACACTCTACCTGATCCTGTTGTTAGTCTCTCTAATCCCCCATACCTTTTACCTTAAACTGTCTACCGTGGACCTTACACGTTTCTTAAGAGGTCCCTAAGGGGGCGTGCATAAGGCGCACCAGTGTGCCTACCATCCCTATCCTACTGCCCCCATTTATATGTACTCATTTTATGTGTTTTATGGCTATGTCTTGCTTATTTATATCCATTTGTTTGTGCCAATTTTTTTTCATGTGTCCATGTCTATGTCTATACTGTTACTTGTTTCCTTGTACTTGTTGACAAATAAAATAAATAAATAAACTTTCCTGGGGGTTTTCCTTGAAAACGTTTTGTTTCTTAACCAAGAAGCTTCTTCGGTTCTGACTGAATGTGTGTGACTGCAAAGAATATAAATCCTTCTATTCCCTGCCATTCAGTCAAAACCGAAGAAGCTTCTTGGATGAGAAGCAAAACGTTTTCAACGTGGGAAACCAGTGGTGGGTTCCTCCCGGTTCGGTCCAGTTCAGCTGAGTCGGTAGCGGTGACGATATGATGTCACCGAACCGGTTCTCTCCCCCCCCCCGCCCTCCCACCCCCCCCACGTTATTCTTACCTTTTATTTGATCCCACCCCCAATCTATTGCTGCCTCCTGAGTCCCAGCTGATGACTAGAGGGAAAAAACTCTTTAAACTCTTGCCGCGGGGCTTCAAAGGGCCGCCCTACAGCTGATCAGTGTTAAAAGCAAACAAATGAGTCGGGTTGTAAGTGCAAGGACTGGTCGTAAGTGCGAGGACCTTCCAGAAATGACTCTGACCGGCTAGCCACGCCCACCTAGTCACATGACCTCCAAGCCACACCCACAAAATAAGCCACACCCACAGAACCGATAGTAAAGATAGCTTAACGCATTGTAAGCCGCCCTGAGTCTCCGGAGAAGGGCGGCATATAAATCAAATAAAAAAAAAAAGAAAGAAAGAAAATTAGAACCCACCCCTGGGGGAAACCCCCCCCCAAAAAAATTCTAGTTGACTTTTGAAAAGCACCCGTGGGACAGCCTGAATATATCATTAGACTCCATGTACAGTATCTTAAGATGTGTTGGATGGTGTCAACAGTATGTTTATTTGAAAGCTAATCTCTTGATTAGAACTTTGGCTTTGGTTTCACTTATGGAAGATTGCCCAAAACATACCAGAACTGAATGACAGCCTCCTTAGTGCTTGCAGGAAATGCTGAAGGTAGCACAGATACAGCAAAGTCTGTGACCTAGTCTGAACTTAAAACCATTAGGGAGAAGCCTACATTTTGGCCATTGCATGCCATCCAGTGCAGGGGTGAAATGCACTTACCTTCACTACCGGATCGCAAATGTGAGCACGCACGCCTCCTCCACGCATGCGCAGAGCCTTCTGCGCGTGCACAGAGGGTCAAAAACCGGATATGATGACGTCCGTGCGGATGGGTAGCAGCTCCCGCTGCCAGCCCTACTGAGATTGCTCGAGCCGGATAGATCCGGCTGGGTTTCACCACTGATCCTGTGGCTACCCTACGAGAGCAAATCATGCATTGCAAAGATCGCTTGGAAGTTGGAGATACTTCTAATGTAATCTACTGGATCCCCTGCATGGATTGCCCCTATAGGACAGGCAGGGAGGAACCTAATCACCTCCCTAATCGCAAACGAGTGGTCAGACAAGGAGACCCGAACTCATTGGTAGCCTCACATTGCAATGAATAAGGACATACATTCAATTTCGCAGCTATTGAGATTGTTGGATGGGCAGGCACAAAAACAGCCAGGGAAACTATTAAAGCCTGGGAAACGGGGCCCTTGTCAGAGTGCTGATTTACCACTTATCAGGAGCCTGAGGGCTTGGCAGCGTAAGGAAACAACAGCCAATTGCCAGCCATCAACACGCCACTCAATAGGAAGATACCACGTACAGTAGTGGCCAAAATTGTGGAAAACTTTTGGGAAAAGTGTATTTTCTAAAACTAGCTAATTACACCACTTCTTTTTTTTTTGGAGTAGTACCATAAAATTATACAGTATATCAATGAAAAGATAATTTAATCAAGAATGTAATGAAATAACTTTGATGAAGGATTTGCTATTAGAATAGCAGTTACAGTATAAAGAAGAAAAGTGAAACACGTAGAAAAAACAAGATATACAAAAATGATCACCAGAGAAAAAATGAGTTATACAAAAATTATCACCATGTCAGCTAATAGTTGGGTAACCTTTAGCATGAATTACGGCCTTACAATGTCTTCTCATGGAGTGACCCAAATCTCTTAGTTCTGCAGCTGTTACAATATGAAACTAAGATTGAATGATAGCTTCCATTAACTGGGTTTTATTGCTGAGTCGCTTCTGACTAACAAGTTTCTTTAGTCGGCTCCATAGATTTTCAATTGGGTTATGGTCTGGGTTCTTCCTAGGCCATTCCAGCAGTGGAATAGGATTATCTTGAAACTGCAAAAAAAAAAAAAAAAAAGTGGTCTTACTAGCCATCAAACCTCAAAAATACATTTTCCCCAAAAGGTTTCCACAATTTTGGCCACTACTGTAAATACGACTCACAGAATAGCACATATTCAGTAGAGAGAAGTTCCCTGAAGATGGGCTCCAGCACGAGCCCGAAAGCTCAGAGCAGTAAATCTCTGGTCCCAGTGACAGACCCAGATTCAATCTTGCAAGCCTAAATTGACCATCTTGGCTGGTGTAGGTCAATGTCTATGATCCTAATGAAAATGTCAATGCCTATGATCTTAATGAAAAGAAGGAGTCGGGGTGGCATCAGAGCAGCGTTCCAGCATTTGAGGGGCTGCCACAAAGAAGAGGGGGTCCACCTATTCTCCAAAGCACCTGAGGACAGGACAAGAAGCAATGAGTGGAAACTAATCAAGGAGAGAAGCAACTTAGAACTAAGGAGAAATTTCCTGACAACAGAACAATTAATCAGTGGAACAACTTGCCTCCAGAAGTTGTGAATGCTCCAACACTGGAAGTTCTTAAGAAGATGTTGGATAACCATTTGTCTGGAATAGAA